ACAAAAATGATGTTCCAGGATCGACGTAGATGTTAATCCATTAATTAATAATTCATAATAAAAAATAATAATAATAATAAGTAGTAGTAGTAATTAATAATAATTATTATTATTAATCCAGAATCACATTGTACTTGGTAAAATTATGACGTGCTGCGTGTGAATCTATTTAGGCAGCGTGTCCGATAAAGCACTTTTTGCGATGCTGAAAACATCAGCATTCTTCTAAAAATGCTCAGCTGTGAGCATTTCTCCATCTGTCTGGGCATTAAAAAATGCAGAGCACTTAATGCTTTGTGTAAAATGAATGCTCAGTGCCTTGCCCTACCATACCGCTGATATTCTAAAAAATGCAATGCTCTCATTGAAAACAACTGACAACTTTTGCTTAGAGAAAAACATGCTTTAGTGGACATGCAGAATCTAAAGACTGAAGGGTTCTCTTTGATGTCAATCATTGGAGCAGACTGAGAGCAGATGAGGAAAGGTCCAGCTAATTTTCCTTCCACAACCCCTGCCTTTCAGTCTCTCAGTCCTCAGAAAGGCTTAAGTCCCATTAAAAAAACACAAATATATTGTGTAACTAAGAAGAAACAGGGCCACTCACACACAGCCATAGCACACAGACCACCTGTGCACATCTGAACAAAGGTTTTCTTCAACAGCAGCATGTTGTGAAGAGGTGCTGAGGCTGTGTATGAATGAAAGAAGCCTTATTAAAGAATGTCTGTATGGGTCACCACATGACCTGGACACTAATCACAGGAAATGAGTTCTGCTTCAGGTACACTCACACACACAGACAGACAGCACAGGCTCTTTATGCCACATTTGATACAACTTTATACTAGAATGAGCGAACCGATACTGACTAAAGACAATGACACTGCAAATCAACTAACAGCAATCAATGCAGATTAATCATCAGTTTAGCTTAAAACGAGTGATTTTAATTTGGACAGCACTACACACATTCTCTGTCTTAAAGGGTCCTTTCAATCAAATATGAAAATTAGCCCATGATTAACTCACCCCTAAAGGCATTCTAGGTGTTTATCACTTTTTTCTTTCAATACAATCCAATTTGAGTTATTAAGCATTTCTGATAGATAAAGTGGAATGTATGCAAAGCACATACAACATGGAGGATTGATCCAACTGTACATACGGCATACGCTATGCGTTCTACCTCATCAATCAGAAAGGCAGTCATTCATATATAAACAAATGACAAATACACAAAACTGCATATACAGTGTTAAATATGGATATGTTTCTTACAAAACCTCATTGACTTACTACAGGAGACCTATATCCACTGTGTGAGTCACTTTTTATTATGGATGGATATAATTTATTGGAATGCTTTGGACAATTGAAGAGAAACGCCCACCTCTTGCCAGTTTAGTTTAAATGAGCCAGGACATCTTTTTAAATGACTCTAATTGGATTTGACTAAAAGAAGAAAGTCATATACACCTAGAATGCCTTGAATAATTTTTTAGATAATATTCATTTTCAAGTGACAGTTTTAAGACAGGACCGGAGTTGTGAGCAATGTGTTCCACAGTACCACGTCACGGTATTCTAATTACATTTTTGGGTAATGCAGTAATGTAACAAAGTACATTTTAAATTTGTGTCATTTGATTTCAGTTACTCAAGTCCATGTAATTGTGTTACTAACGTTACAAATATAGTTTTTGGATGAAAAGAAAATCTGCAGCAATGCCAGTTAATAAGCATATGCTTTTAAATAGCTGGAAAATTGAGCTAAAATGATTGCAGTCGAGAGTGGTTGCTTCTTCAAGTGAAAATACAAACATTTGGATTTTCAAAAGAACTTTCGACTTCTGTAAACTCGACCAGTCAAACAGACTTAATTAGAAAGCATTCTAAGTCAATGCTCGACATCATGTAGGACATTGGTGCCCACAAACACAGTGGTCCAACTCAACCTAAACAGGCTAAATTGGATTTTTGTGCGTACATGAAGAAAAGCGAAGCTAGAGAAGCTTACATGCTTATGGGGCTGTTCACACATTGCTTATTTTGCATGCACACACATATTACACACGCCGCCATTTCCCAGGCACACCCAGTTGAAAACGGCAAATCACATGACAAAAACTGAACGATCGGCTACATAATTTGGAATACAATATAAACATTTCGGTAGACTGAATACCTCAGACAAACACAGAACACACAAACACTGCAGTAATTTTTCATACTATGTATGTGAATACTATAGATATCCAGAACTAAATGTCTTCTTTTGTGTTAAAAAAAAGACAAACAGGTGTGCAACAAGTGAATGATGACAGACTTTTAAGTTTTGGGCGAACTCTTTAAATCTTTTGAATATGTCTAGCTGCTGTGATCAACCCATTTTTTTTTTCAGTGAATATTAAAACACTGAAAGAGTTGCAGTTTATTTTGTAGTTTTTTTAGGTATATTTTATATGTTTTATAAGTAACTTCAAAGTAAAGTAACTGGTAATCTGATTACTTTTTACATTAAGTAATTAGTAATGTAATCAGATTACAGATTTCCAGTCAGTAATGTGTAATCTATTACTTTTTAAAAGTAACTTACCCAACACTGGACAGGACTAATCTAAATAACATTTGAGTATTTGAATTTATAACCTAATTAAATTACTATCATGATTACAAACACCATGGGCTAATGATGGTTAATACAGCAAAACCATGGTTTTGAGGGAATTATCTATAGTCAAATATAGTGTTTTTATAATAAAATATAGTATAGCAATTAAATTATGTTTTATATTATGCAATTATACATTTGCAGTTAAAACATTAATTAAGAGTAACACTTTAAGTATTAGTAGTATTTTGAGTATTAGTAGACTGTCTGCTTAATATCTGTTGATGCTGCTGCTAAACAGACATGTAACTGACTAAGAAACTTTGCAAGTACATGTCAACCTACACTGACCTTAACCCTAACCTAACAGTCTGCTTATAATTTAATGATAATTAGTTGGCATGTACAGTAGATGCAATGTAACTTAAACTCAACAAACGGACCATCAAAATAAAGTGTGACCTAATTAAGTACAGAGATAAAGGTGAACAATCTTATCTGACACTAATAGGCAGTCTATGTTTTACACTATCGCAGAGTAAATGTTGGTTCATTCTGCTGTGGCGACCCCTGTTAAACAAAGACTAAGCCGAAGAAAAGAGAGTGAACTGTTTACACGATCTGGCTCTTGATTCTGTTTATTTATTTTTGTCAAGGCCAGGAAGCAAACACAGCTATAATGAAGGCAGAAAATGCACTCAGTAGTAGGAGAGTCTAAGGTAGCTCACAGTGGCCAAACAAACAAAGAAAAAATATTGTCAGCAATCCCAATGGAATCGGACAGGATTGGGTTTCTCAGAGAATCCCTGAGCTTGGCGAAAAACAATAGGTAATTTGCTCTGAAATTTTTATAAAGGTTGTGAGAGAGTACATCTACAAAAAGTGCATGTGTTGAACATAAATTTCTCTAATGACCTCCTAGTAATCTAGTTCAACCCCAACAGAGCTTCAGTATCAAACATTATTACTGTGCATTTACATCGAAGGCGGTGAGAGTGTATAAGTTTGCTCTTGCCACCCTGGCGACAACGCTGTCTGCTTTTACTGCTCTGCTATTTTGATCTCGTATTCAAATGGGCCATTGCAGCAAAGTAGTTACATACATACATAAAAACATGCTTTCTAGCATAAAAACGTTGTTGATCAAATTCATTTAACTATGGAAAATCAAGTTGTTGCGTGTCGTGTTTCGTTGCTTCAATTATTCATTATAGGTCCATATCTGAAATATTCTGAAGTCATTAAAGTTAGGATGAGATTTCTGCTTTTTAAAGAAAAAATAACATTAATGCAAATCAACTCGCTAGTATTTTTTTAAACTGCGTCCCTGTAAGAAAAATCTTAAAAAATAATTGAAAATCCAGCGACCTCAATTATCAAACCCTTGGGAACAACTGTGGCGGAACTTTTTGACTGGTTGCCGCCCAACCACATCATAGCTCATTACCATAAAGTCGACTTGATTTCAACTCTCCTTGACGCCAGCGAACATCAGCAAACGCGTTGCGTTGCTCATCGCCAGCTCTCATTAAAAACAAATGACTTCAGGCTAATTTGACGCTCTCCTCGCTTTTGGTGTGAACGCACAGTTACAGAAATTGCATTTTTCATAATTACAATATAAACAAAAGGTGGCACAGTGGCTCAGTGGTAAGCACTGTCGCCTCACAGCAAGAAGCACGCTGGTTTGAGTCCCGACTTGGCCAGTTGGCAATGCTGTGTGGAGTTTGCATGTTCTCCCCGTATTTACGTGGGTTTTCTCTGGGTGCTCCAGTTTCCCCCACAGTCCAAATACATGTGGTGTAGGTAAATTGGGTTCGCTAAACTTTCCATAGTCTATCAGTATGTTTGTGAATGAGTGTGTTACGTCCTTTTAGACGAACGTTACAGTGAGTATGGGTGTTTTCAAATACTGTGTTTCAGCTGGCAGCTATGTAAAACATATGCTGGAATAGTTGGCGGTTATTACCGTTATGGCGACCTCTGAAATAGAGACTAAGCCAAAGTAAAATGAGTGAATGAATGTTTAAACAAACAGGTGAATGCGCTTAAACTTTCTTATTAACTTTCAACATATTTTCGAAAATCTAGGAATCATTTAGTTCCACGAATCTCACAAAGTTTAAGTAATCAGGTTAATCCATGCACAATTCATGTAAAATGATGTAAAAAAGAAATTTTACCACCTATCTTTTAATATATAGCCTTTGCACTCCATGTAAAAACATTGATACCCAAGAATAGCTTTACTTTGGAAAAAAAAAAAAAGGTTCAAGAGTTTACTATATTTTCATTATTAGTAAATAATGCTATAATAGAACAACATAACCAAAATGTTTCCATCTAAAGTAAAATATAATGTTGAAAACCAAATGAAGTCTCTCACCTGTGAGTCTGAGATGGACACTCGTTTGGATTCGATGGTCGGCTGTCTGGCTATTCGAGAGGACATGTACGTGCCTCTCTCCTGAAGTGACATTTTCCTGCCAGACAGGTGTGGCCTCTTGGGTTGAGCTTTCTTGACACCCATCCCGTTCTTCAGCACACTGGAAGAGCTGTCGGGCCCCAGGGACATGACGGACATCCTGTCTGTCATCTCAGCAGTCTGGGAGGAGTCTGGGTCACGCTCCACCCTCACGCCACCAGGACCACTGCTCATCGCCATCACCATACAGGACGAGGGCTTCTCATTAATTGTTCCACCTCCAGAGCTGGTTTGCAGTTAAAGAAAGCTGTGGGAAGATAAAAATACTTTAGTAATATATAATATCGACAAGCTGTTAGATGATGTCAGTCTTTCCTTATTTAGGTAAGCAGATGTTGCTACTTATTAAGATAAAATTTGCTTCTAAACCAGGTGGTAAAACTTCAGATGGCCAGCAAGACGATGAATATGTGATTACTTATTTAATTGCATTTCCCCCTCAATCCCTATTGGTTTTATCGAAGAACATACAGTACAGTCCTTAAAACTCCTGTAATCGTAAAAAGAAAATAATATTTAAAAAAAAACGTACTGCACTTTTATATATGCATATTAAAAGTGATTTTTTTTAGGAAATACCCATCACCATTTAAGCTTTGGTGATGAACAAAACATACATATTATATTAAACCTCAAGCCAATGTAGTATTTTTACAACAGTTCTGTCTGGTTCTTGAATCTGATAGCCGTGCGATATTTTGCAAATTACAGCACTCATACAGCCTCCTAACCCTTCACTCAAGTGTATTACTCCGCCCACAAACAGCGACAAGCAGAGGACACTCTACAGTTTGACAAATATTACAGCTGTTGGACAACATAATGTACTTTTGAGGCTATTTTAGTCAAGAATGTAGTTGTTTAGATTGCAACTATGCAGTTTATTTATAAGGATAGCGCCTATTTTTAAATATTTATAATTTCAGAGACTTAGTGCATCAGCTGCCATCAGCCTGTCTGAGCAGACTACAGAAAGTGACAGTTGACGTTCCTCCACAAGATGGCGACAGAGACCGCATTATAAGTCCTTCCAGTGCCGATATACAGCCATATTACACTGCTACTTGATTGACATTGCTCATAAAAGAGGCTACTTTCTTTCACATAGTTAACGCATGTGAATTATACATAATCTTGATCTACCTAATCATCTAAACTAAAACACACACAAAATAACATTTGACAGTTGAATTATTGACTACATTTAACTACGTTATTCTCCTAACACAGAATAGTAGAATAAGTAGGAACTTAAATCCTGCCAGACTTGTCTAGCTTCAGCCTGACAAAATAAGATTTTGAGTGCACTTATCTGTATATTTTTTCATTTCTTAAAATAATTTTACTTAATTCCATTGTTTGGTTTTAGTGAAGGACTTACAAGCAAAATATTAACAATGTAAGACTTCTCTCTAATAACACAATGATGAACGTGTTTTTCAACCTAAAATTTGAAGGCAGAAAGAAAGAATGTCAGTACTGGATATCTGGTTTTGTGTACTCAATTTCATTGCTGTCATTTCACTTCTTTCTCAAAAAGTAGAAAAAAAATTAACTCTGTGTGAATATTACCAGCCCTCGACTTCATTTTGGACTCTAATGAGGGTCAGTTATGCCTTGATCATGCTCTCCATGGCATTTTTCTGGCATTAACTGTGCAAAGGGTGTGAATATTACTGGCAGCAAGGTGCCAATGAAGTCATCCATACATGACCAGCTAATTGAAAAAAAAGTGCGTTTCTCGGGGAGCCCAATTTCCTCAGACGGGGGATAATTAGGAGAATACACTGTGAACAAGAACTGCTTTGTACTCACGGACTGTCTCTGTGTGTGCTTGTATGTCTGTGTGTGTCTGTGTATTTCCCTTAAATAACTCTATCTGCCCATTCATCTATCTATCCATCCACCTGTCTGTCTGTCTATTTTTCTGGGTGGATTGAGACAGGGAATTTTTTCCTCTACCCTACACAGGCTGTGTGTGAGATGGATGCCTGAGGCCTATTGATTTACACACACTGCAGAGTCAAACTCAACCTTACTGAAACACAGCTTTAGAAAGCTAACAAATCATTAGGAGCATTACAGGACCCTGAACCCAAACTGCAAATTACAACAAATCATGAGGCAGTTCAATATACTAACATAACAGGCCAAAACAAAAGAAATATGCAAATATGCAAATGATGACACTTCTATACAGCTTAAAGTGACATTTAAAGGCTGAACTAGATTAATTTGGTTAAGTTAGGGTAATTAGGCAAGTTATTTTATAACGATTGTTTGTTCTGTAGACTATCAAAAAAATATATAGAGCTTAAAGGGGCTAATAATTATGACCTTAAAATGGTTTTTAAAAAAGACTTTCCCCAGAAGAAACAAATATTATCAGACATACTGTGAAAACGTCCTTGCTCTGTTAAACATCATTTTGAAATATTTAAAATAAATAAATAAATAAGTAAATAAATAAATTTATTATATATATATATATATCAGATTCATTAACAAAACAAAACAAATGACAAAACAAACAAAAGTTTAAGTTAAATTCAAAATTACTGTTTTTGTCAAAGTTAAATCACTTCAACCACTTTCACATCGTTCTCCCTCTCTTCATAAATGGCATGGTGCGTCAAATTAAAGGTTAGAATGGGCCAACTTTTGCCCGCGGGCCCTAGTTTTAGCGATTTTGTACTAAAGTAATGATGCAACAGAAATAATCAAATATCTACCTAATGTACCATTTGTAGAAACTGATGACTTCCAGTGACTACTGTACCTCAAGTGAGATAACCCAAAGATTATGCTAGAACTTTTTATTTTTTGCTACTCAAGCATGTTAATTAAAACAAAACAGAAATTTCAACTCATACTATATTCTAACCGCATACAACACAAGAAAAGAAATCTTTTACAAGTTAAATGGAGATATTGTCCTGACCATCTGTGACTATGGCAATGATCACCTCAGGTACAGATTACATACTTTATTTAGTGTTAAATGCTACTAATGTGAGTTTTAATACCATATTTTAGGTGACATTTATGTCATAGTTTTTTTTCTTCTACAAAAAATATGAACATTTCCGATAAAAATGCAGACCTGGTGGGCATAAGACACTTCTTTCAAAAACACCTTAACAACCTCAAACCTTGTAATGAAATGTTGCAACATTTCTTGTATGAAGTGGCCAATAAATTCAAATAATAAACTTATTTAACATGCATACAATATATTACCAATAACACCATCAAACACAAACATATACAGGTCCAAAAACTTATTGTGAAGCTCATAATGCAATGCTTATATATAAAATATCAAACGGTATGTTCCTAATTGGGACGTCACTGTGGCCCAGTGGGTAGAACGATCGCCTCACGGCAAGAAGGTCGCTGGTTATGGGTCAGATGGCATTTTTGTGTGGAGTTTGCATGCTCTACCCATGTTCGCGTGGGTTTCCTCCAGATGCTCTGGTTTCCCCCACAAGTCCAAAGATGAACTGAATATGCTAAATTGTCTGTAGTGTATGTGTGTGCGTAAAACATATGCTTGATAAGTTGGCGGTTCATTCCGCTGTGTTGACCCCTGATTAATAAAGGGACTAAGCTGAAAAGAAAATCAATGAATGAATGAACCATCAAACATAAAAATAGTCATATAAAGGTCGAAAAATTACTGTTAAGCTCATGATGAAATGCTCATAATCTAAAATGCAAACATTTACAAAAACATCAAATATTATGTTTTTAATAACCCACATTACCCTCTAAATCAATCGGTTTATGTCAAATAGTTATATCATGTTTATTGTCTGATATTCAGGGAAGATTGAATATGCAAATAGTTCACACTTTAGGTGAAGTGTCCAGAATTTGCAGGCAAAAATGAAAGTAAAGATGCAAACACAGCAGTTGTTTAGTGTGTCTTGTGAACTGCATTTTAGATTACAAATTGGAGAGATATAGTCGAAACAAATTTTCATTTTTGGTGTTTCTAGTGGAAATACTGTTATTGCATAAACACCCTACAAACTCATATCAAACTCACAATGAGGCAGTTATACTTTCTCTGCTTTTAAAATGTTTATCTCCATATGGGTGTGTTAAATCACCCTTTAGGAGACCGATCTGCCATTGTTGTGGTAATCTTTTAAAACCATTATAAATCAACCATCAACTGTTTGCACACTACAGGGGCAATTCTATTTCACTAAACAGGAAAAAAATGAAACGTTACTGGCTGTCCTACCTGTCAATCAACCAGCCCACTTGGCTATTCAAAGCGCCCAGGGTTCTAAAGGTCTGATACAGTGCATATACATGCACAGCAGTTGAATTTTTGAATAAATACTAAGTTTAAGGCTTGGCTCATAGTTCACACTTTAGGTGAAGTGTCCAGAATTTGCACAGACTGAGCAGGTACCTCTGTTCCCTCTTCTCACATCAATGTGTCTCTTATGATCAGACATTGTTCACTTCATAGAGAGAGAAAATCAAAGCAGAGCTGGACATCTGTTGGACTCTTTGTTTTACAGATAAAAGAGGTGAAATTACAAAACATGCCTCTTTACATGTAAATCAGGAGATAAAGTAGTGGGGATGAATTTCTTTATACTGGATCATAATAGAGTTTCACACATCTTTCTGCAATTCTTACAGTTATTGTCTCATTCTACATGCAAACCGTTTCAGAGAATCTTCTATGAGGGCATGGAGAATTACCATAGGAAACGAGGCTGAAGAATAGAAATGTCATCACAACTAAATCCTTTCTGTCCTACAGCGAGGCGAAGAGACAGGCTCTGGAAACAGAGCAAAATCCCTTAATGCAAATGTCAGGGGAGCCACTCTCGATTTGATGTATTTGGGACGCACTATCTTACTCTATTGCTCAAGGTTATCTGTAATATACAGGCCGAACATGAGAGTTTCCTTTTCTAAGCCCAAGATGCCTTTTAAAATTTTCCCAGGTGAGCCTGGCCCAACGTAACTGAATTTAGATGATATTAAAGTGTTTTACTGGTCTGCATTGAACAAAAAAAAAGTAAAAAGCCAGACATCTGGTCTGAGCATATAAACACAAATCTAAAAAAATTCATTAACCAGAAAGACTGATATTCTGAAAAGAATAATGTCATTTGAATCATAATGAATTGTTATTTAGCAATTGGCTAAATTCTCCATCAATCAAACTAGGAACTAGAAAGTATAAGCATAAGCAAGCGTCAAAACACTCGACTGCTT